ACAGCATAGTAATTTAACATTTATAAACCTTACAAAGTGATCACCACAAGTGTAGTAAGCTTCTGACACTGTACATACTTATGACAATATTAAGGGGGTGATATTTTATACTAAGCTAAGGCTTTATTTATGGAGATGTGCAGCTTTACTATAGGCAGAACAAGTCATTATGTTCTAATTCTGCTTGCAATCAGAAGACCTTGATTTACTGTTGTTACCTGCTGTGGTAGAAATTGCAAGCATCACTGAAGTAGACTTGCATCTTCAGCATTGGAAATATTAAATTCATCAGGAGTGGTTTCAAAAAGCCACAGCCTGTGGTAGTATGATAAATGCGTGAAGAAAAGTTTTTCTCTTATTTCAGATAGCCTTTGATAGTATGTCTGTTTAGGAAAATAGGCACAGATTAGGCAGCTGTGTACCTGCCTCTCAAATATTTTTACCTTCTTTGGATAAACTTTGGGTTATGTCAAGAGTCCTCTATGGCCTTTCTTCGGAGAAACACTCAACCAACGTCGATGTGAGCTTATAAAAAAGGGCTTGTAGCATATATAACACTGCTCAACAGCTTTGCTGACCTGAAGTCTGCATGGTTCAACTAGTTTTTCTTTGAACTCTGAACTAGTAATGTACTGATCATCAGGTTTCCTTTGCTTTGCCATTTCTAGTCATGAACTGATCTATATTCTCTGTCTTGCTTTTCACTAGGGACTTGTCTTGCAGGATAAATTCTGTGCTAAAATGTTGCACTTCCTGCTTCTGTATACGCTGATGAACAGGCTTCAGATTTCTACCTTGTGGAGACATGACACCCCACTTAGAGATGACAGATATCTTAAAGGACTGCAGTTTTGATATGTGTGGGGCTATTTCTGTCTCTATTAAGTAGAGAGGCTTATGAGAGCATCTTTGAAGTCTGAGGAGGTACATGTCTGTCTTTTGCTCCTTGTTTCTCTTGGTCAGGGTTTTGAGTATTCATCTCCAGTGTTATCTCTCCTAATCACCTCCTGAGGTAATTTGCTTCTAATTTTGGCTACTTCCCCCCCCCCCCCCCCCCCCCCCCGCTTATTCTAAAATGTCTTCCCTTGTCCCTTCAGACTTCTGTCAGTTTTCAGTTTGCTGAAATGGCCTTCTTTTGGTAGACAGCGGTCTGTTGACTTCTCTCCCTTATTGAGCTAGCTAGTAACCTAGGAGTAAAAACCTTGTTTCTCTCAGCCTCCCCATTGCAAAAACAACTGTTCATAACAAGACAAAAAAGGAAGCCTCACTGTTGTGACTCAGTTGGTTGAGCATCATCCCATGTCCTGAGAGTTCGCCAATTCTATTCCCTGCTAGGGCACATGTATGGGTTATGGGCTCAATTGCCAGTAGAAGGCAGGCAATTGATGTTTCTCTCTTTCCCTTCCCTTGCTTTCTTTCTAATATCGACAACATTTAAAAAAAAAAAAAGAATGTAAATGCTCATAACTAGTTTTTACCATCTCAATTATGGCCTTCCATATGTATTATTTTTCAAAAGGGGAATCATCATATCATATATACTATTTTATTCATACATACTGTTTTAAAACTGCTTCCCCCCCCCCCCCACTGTATATCCTGAAAGTACATTCTCATATATTTTTATTTAAAAAATATATATTTCTAACTTTTCAGTCCCTAAAAACTGTTCTGTGATATTAGATATTGACTAGTCCTTCATTTTTGGACCTTTAAGTGTTTTAGCTTCTTTTCTCTTTCCCCTTCCTCCTTTTTGTCTTTCTGTTACTTATACTGTGATATAATTTTTGTTTTTAGGTATCTGGAGTTGTTTGCTCACTATCCATATAGTTATTTTATTAAACTCTAATGTGACTTTTGGGGTTAAAGGGTAGGCTATTTCTAGTTACAGTGTCACCTTGTGTGTGTGTTTAGATATCTTATGCATTTCTGCTTTCCCAGCATGTAGCATTATACCTGGCACCACAGTGGGTGTTCACTAAAGAATTATAGTTGCTTTCCAGAAATATGAGGGTAATTTGGCAAATTTATAACTATCTACTCTGTATTTGGGACCCTTGGAATAGGAGTGAGCAAGACAGAGATTGTCCTTGCTCTCATAAGTTGAGGTGTTATTCTATATAGCAAGGTATATGTTATAAAGAGAGCAAGCCTCTATAATTAATGTGAGGATAATTAAAAACCTAAAGTTATACAATATAGTATAACTGATTTAAATGACTTAATAATGTGAGGTTACTTGGGGGAAGGGTGATGCCCCCCCCTCCCCCCCGCCCCTCCAAGCTTATAGCTAAATTTACAATTGACTAAATGATTTTTCTGTAGATCATAGCTCTTATTTAGGATTGTCCACTAGTGTTACTTATTGAGATGAGATGATTATTTTCAGGTTTAAAGGTCACTCTTTGACTTTTGGGAATAACTGGAATAATTTTTAGTTAAATTTAAATTTTTTTAAAAATTAATTCTGACAGTATTTTATTTTATTTTATTTTTTTTTAAATCAATCTTTATTGTTCATATTATTACAAAGGTTCCTCATTTCTTTCCCCCTCCACCAGGTTCCCACCCCACCCTCCGCCCCCCTCCCCATCCCCCATTGTCCTCATCCATAGGTGCACAGTTTATGTTCAGTCTCTTCTTCCCTCCTTTCCCCGATAGTAAATCCCTTTTCAGATAGTAATTCCGTTACTTAGCATTTTCTCATATCAATAATACCTCCACATGCCCAATGATACACTTCACACAAAAGACATTTCCCAATAGGTCAACTAGCCTCATCCAGGCCCCACCCAAGGCACTCACAGATCAACACCCCAGCCCTATACTAACTCAACACATCCAGATCTAAGCCTTCATCACTTGATTCAGCAGACCCTCAAGTTCCCGCGAAAGTTTCCAGCCATGTCTGAGAGGCAGCCGTGGGGCAGGGGCAGGCGAGGAGCGAGCTGTTCCGAGCCTGGCTGCTCAGGGCCTGGCCTCTGTTGGTCTGGTTCATTCTACAAAAAGCTGCTCCGGGTCTGGTCACTGCCGCTCCCGACCTAGTTGCTCTGGACTTGGCTGCTGCTGCTCCGGGCCTGGCCGCTCCCAGCCTGGCAGCCGCTGCTCCGGGCCTGGCCGCACCTGACCCGGCTGCTCCCCTGGGCCTGGCCGCTCCAGGCCTGGCCACTCCTGGCCTGGATGCTCTGGGCTTGGCTACTGCTGTTCTGGGTCTGGCTGCTCCCACCCCGGCTGCTCTGAGCCCGCCTTTTCCGGGCCCGGCCACTCCGGGTCTGGGTGTTCCTGGACTGGCCACCCTGGGCTTGGCCGCCTCCGCCTCAGGCCTGGCTGCCACTGTCCCAGGTCTGGCTGCTCCAGTGCTGGCTGTTGATGCTCTGGTTCTGGCTGCTGCTGCTCTGGGGCCTGGCCGTTGCTGCTCCGGGCCTGGCTGCCACTGCCTTGTGTCTGGCCACTCTAGGCCTGGCCGCCACTGCTCCAATATTCTGTCCTTTTTTTTCTTTTTCTTTTTTTAAAACGCATTTATGTTGCAATTTTGGCTGGTGAGTTGAGTTCTGACTTAGTCTTTGATTTTTCAAGAACTTCTTTGTATTCTTTCTTAAGTAATTTTACTATCTTTTGCTCTCACTTGATTTCTTCACATTGAGAACTTCATTGGTTTCTTCCTCCTTGTCCTGGGAGCTCAGCAGGTTGGCCTGTGGCACCCCTTTGTTCTCCACGGGCTCCTGCGCTGCTTTAGCCTGTTGCCAGGGACGGCGCTGCCCAGGAAGCAGCCCCCCCCCCCCCGGCCTTTGCTCCATTGCCAGCGCTCAGCGGTGGAAGGCTCAGGGGCACCCCCCCCCCCCCAGTAGCCCTGTCGCCCGGCTCCTTGCTGGTTCCCGGTTGGCCGGCGTCTGGCAGGGGCTCCCGCTCCCCGCCGCGTTGCCCCAGCCCGGAGCTTTTTTTCTCCTTCCCGCTAGGGGAGTCCAGCATCAGAGTCAACTGACTGTCCTCTGAGCGCAGTATGCGCAAGTCCTGGGGCCCAGCCTTTCGCCGCTCTCCCAGGACTCCACCTCACAGCCCCGTCTCCCTCTGCCTGAGCCTGGGTCCCCAAGGATTAGCCCAGAACTGGGGTTCGGAGCAGTCCGGACTGAGGCTCAGCGCCGCCGGAGGCCTTGTTTCTTCTGGCTAGGGCAACCCAGCATCAGAGTCAACATTCAGTCCTCTGCGCGCATTGCGCGCGACTCCCGGGGCCCTGCCTTTCGCCGTTTTTCCGCCTCACAGCCCCGTCTCCTCCTGCCGGAGCCTGGGTCCCCAGGGTCTGGCCCATAACTGGGGCTCAGCGCTGCCGGTTCGGGGGTTCAGCCCAGGCTGGGGGTTTTATTTCCTTCCTGCTAGGGAAGGAAAGGCGGCTCCCCGCCCTCTCCTCCTCTCCGGCTGCGACCTCTCCGCGTGCCTGTGCGGGCGGGCGCGCAGCATGGCTCTGTACCTTAGGCTTTTTTTCAGCTCCTCTGATTTTCCTTCTGGTTTTCTCTTTCCTTCTTGTAGAATTTTCAGTCAGTCGACTACCTGTAGCTCTGGGCAATGTCCACTCTACATCTTAGTTGTATTTCATTGAAATTGTTGTGTGCTGCCGCGGCTAGATGTCTACCCGAGCAGCCATCTTGGATCACCACTGTACCTGAATATAATAAGTTACTATACTTAGTGATTTTAGAGACCAAAATATATTTTAGTCTGAGTGTGCGATAATAGGAAATATATCCCCAAATATTTTTTGTCCCTCTGTTGTTCTTTTTAAAATATGATTAGACAAAGATTGCTGCTATGAAGAACATTTTATGTTGTAAATTTGTATTTCAACCATCCAGCTTTTAATGCTTTCTATAATCCCACTTATAAAAATGGAAAGTGAAGGGTGAGTGGCTGCCCTCTTGAACAGGCACATAACTTTTAAAAAAAATATGGGTATCTCAGAGCTATGTTAGAGTTTCATATAGCTGCCTCTTTCTTTTTTATTATAGGGCCAGCTCTCAATGTTACAAGAAAAAATAGACCATTTGGAGCGTTTGCTAGCTGAGAATAATGAGATCATCTCAAATATTAGAGATTCGGTCATCAATTTGAGTGAGTCTGTGGAGGATGGGCCAAAAAGTTCACAAGGCAATTTCAGCCAACGTGCTGGCTCACCTTTTCTGCCATCGAAAAAGTCCCTCACAGTTGACCCTGAAGACTGTCTATTTGCTTCACAAAGCGGAAGTCATAATGCAGATGTGCAGGTAATGTATGCATTTGTTAATAATCACTAGGTTTGTGTTTGCTTTTTTAGATTTGATCTGGTGTCTGTTCTTACTTAGTAAGTTACTTAAATTCTCTGGATTCTAGTTTCTGTGATTTGATTAATTACATTATCATTAATATTCTTTTTTAGTGATAAAATTCAGTAATTCTGTGCTTCTAATTTTTTTATTTTATACTTTGTGAATGTGGCCATTTTCTATACCTCTTCAGTCTTGTTTTTTGTTTTTTTTTTTTTTTTTTTTTTTTTTTTTGTAGCAGGTGTAGACCTTTAAAGGTTTAAATTTGGCCAAAGAAATTTTCCTACCTTCCTTCGGAGAGTACAAGAAGAGCCTTCCGCTTACTATATCAATGTTATACATTATAGGTTTCGCATAGGGTAGGTTTAGATTGTTTTTTTTTTGTTGTTGTTGTTGTTGAATATGCCTTTATGAGAAGGAAGATAAATATTCTAGAGTTGTGCTGTCCATCATGGCAGCCATATGTGGCTACTAAATTTGGAATGTGGCTAGTTTGAATTGAAATGTGCTTAAAATATAATTTACACACAAAATGTTGAAGATTTAGTATGAAAAAATAATCTATAAAGTATCTTGTTCATTTTCATATTGATTACATATTGAGATAGTAATATTTTGAATGCATTGGCCTAAAATAAAATATATCATTAAAGTTAATTTTGCCTATTCTATTTTACTACAAAATTTAATATTACATATTTGGCTTGCATTATTGTCTTTGATCACACTGTTCTAGAGGACAGTGGAGTTGAAGACTAGGTAAGAAAGAACTTTTGCCTTTAAGTTTTGAATATGTACTCATATTTTTTTAGTTCTGCAAAATAGCAGAGAGCTATAGATTTAACCTTATGCCTTAGGCCAGAAATTGGAACTTTGTGACAGGACCCTATGAAGTGAATATTTTTAAAGTTGGATTAAATGAGTTGGCTGTGTCTTGGCTTCTAAGGAGGAATTTTTACTAACTTTTAGGGACAGATAATATGATATGATCTCGAGGACATGGCTCCCAGGCCAGGCTGGAAACTGGGAACAGTTTGGCTGGCCAGACCTTATGTCTACAGTCTCATCATGTAATGGGTGGCCAGGTTCAGTTAGGATTAGGATCCTATCCTGTGCTTTGAAGGGATATATCTATTTCTCTGAGGCTTGGCTTTGTTCAGGTTTTAATTCACTCCTTTTAAAGAGGAACAAAAAACTTTTTGGTAGGGGTGGGTCTAAATCTGGGATGGACAGAAAGAAGGTAGGAGCAACCATGGAATGCAGGCAGAGTGAGGCAGCAGGACTGGGAGATCTGCAGACTAAAGAAAGAACTGGGAGAAATAGCAGAGACTGCTAACACATCCTCCCTGGGCCAGCTGGTTCCCTAAGATTTGTTGACTTATCCTTAGTGCATTGTATTTTACTTTATTAAAGTCAGAAATTCTGAATTGAGAAATATATTATTGCCTTAAAATATTTCGTATTCACTTTTATGTAGTTTGTTTGATATTTTAAAAAAGTTTTCTAATTCATTTATATGTTAACTAGTGGCCCAGTACACAAATTCATGTACACTGAAAGGAAATGAATTAGAAGAAATATTTTAATATTGCTATTCGCCCTTTCTCTATAAAAGAAGTGTCAACCAAATTCACAATTGACAATGACAGATCAAAACACACTTGTATGATTGTCGCCAGCAAGAGGTTTATATGTATTGTGTATGTACGAGTCAACTTAGTCTTTTATAGATATAGAATAAACTTGCTTAATTAGACCTGCTTTTTGATTTAGCTAATCTTTTTCAGCCCAGTGAAGGACCCCAACTTCTCTTTCAAGTAATTGTTAGCAACACAGCAGTAAATATCAACGCGAAGAAGATTATTATTGTAGATCATGCAGGGAGAACAAAGGGTAAAATACTTAACTGCAGCAGTGTTTAACTATATTCTGTGCAGTGAGAAAACCTGAAGTCATTTCCAAGGTTCACCACTTTTTACTTCTTTTTAGTTGGGTCAAGTTTCTAAGCTTTCTAAATCTCTGTTTTCCGGCTAATGAAAAGAAAAGGGGATTCCACTGAGTCTCCTATCTACCCACTCCAGGACTTCAGTGAGGATCAAATGAGATGAGGCACAGGAAAATGCTTCACAGATATTTGGTTACAGTGTGAAATCTTTCCAACTGGCTATAAAGCAAGTCATGTTCCTGGGCTGAAGAACTGCAAGGAGGCTAGTTGCCAGGGAGAGGAAGCTGGGCATTACTATGTGATGTCATTACCCAACTGGTCGGACACTTAGCATATTAGCCATATATATATGGATTTAACTTTTACATAGTTGAAATTTACCAAAGGGTATTTGTGTTGTCATATTAATAGCATAGAGTATGGAAAATAAAAGTTTTTAAGGTTTTTTTTTTTTTTTTTGGGGGGGGGGCAATAATTTTTCCTTTGTGTTCAAAATATATTTTATGTAGAGGGAATGCTGCATTGGAAACTTACAAAGCATCTGAACACTTAAAAGCTAAATCTCAATTTAAAAATATTCTTCCATTTTTAACCTAGTCAGCCTTGTTGTAGTTTTATTTTTAGAACAGAAAAAGGTAAACATAACTTATGCTAAAAGAAATAGAAAGAATAGAAACAGATGTGTTTTCATTAAGATACAGATTTTAAAATATAAGAGATTGAGTATAAAATAATGACAACTCGTAGTAAAAAGTTATATTCAGTAAATTGTTTTTTAATCTGGTCGTAATCATTTTTTTGGTTTGCTGTTTAGTTACTATCTATTCCTATTAAATTGTATTGGAAATAAAGCAGGAGAGGAGGAATTGATTGAAAAAATTTTTTTATTTTTATTAGAAGCAGATGGGGAAGAGGGTTACTAATCAAATCAGAATAGTTATATAATCCAGGTAGCATTTTAAGCCTTTAAATAGTGATTAAATGTTTTCTGCTTTGAACCCTTCATGTCTACAGAAATAGTTTTATCTTATAAAATATATACTTGAAGTACAACAATAAGTACTATTGAACAAATATTTTTCATTATTAAGTTTAAATTAATAATGGTTATACATAATTAAACCTTTTATTTGTCTTTTATATTTTTAGATGTTGGATGTTTACAGTTTAATTCCTTTTGACAATCCAGATGGTGGTGTTTGGAAACAAGGATTTGACATTACCTATAAACTTAATGACTGGGACACTAAGCCCCTTCAAGTCTTTGTGGTGCCTCATTCCCATAATGATCCAGGTAAAATTTACACTTCAAAAGCACTAGAGGTTATTAAACCCCCTGTAGGCACAGACTAGTTTAATGAGAATCTGGTGGCACCCACTTCTCAAATTTTTGAGAAATGTTCCCTGACTTTAAACAATATCATATTTCTTTTATATGTCATTGTATTTTGAGTTCTTACTTGCTTAATTTATGTACCATTTAAAGATAAAAGTTGTGCAGTATGAAATAGTAGTAACACAAAGAAGGGGGGCAAAAGTTGCACACATTTAAGGCACTGATCATTAATTTTAGTTACTTAATGTCGCATCCTACATGGGAGAATTATTTCGTGACCATAAATTCTACATTTAAAAAGTCAGAATGCACATGGGAAAGTTTGAGTCTTTAAAATGGAATAGTACTACAAAATGATTAAGAGACAGACATGGGTGAGACCCAACCTCATCATGTCTAAAATGTTAGATCTTTAGGTAAATTACCTAATCTAAGAGTAAGTTTTTTTGCAGGTAGAATCAAGATAAAGTACTTCATAGGGTGAAATCTAAAGGCATGGTACAGGACCAAAAACGTCAATGAGAGAGAAACATCGACCAGCTGCCTCTTGCACACCCCCCACCGGGGATGTGCCCGCAATCAATGTATATGCCCTTGACCGGAATCGAACCTGGGACCCTTCAGTCCACAAACCAACGCTCTACCCTTGAGCCAAACCGGTTTTGGCGTAAAGCTCAATTTAATCAAAGTCATAAGGACCCTTGGCTGTCTTTTTGTTTGTTTTGTTTTCTATATCAGACACTCAGTGAGGTGATGTGTTTAAATTTCACATATGGGATCTGAGACTGCCTGTAGACTATAGATATTTTTTCTATAAACCTCATTCACTCTGAAATATTCTCTTGGTGAGTGAAATAGCAGCAGAACTACTTGTAGTAAATTGATTGTTCTTTCATCTTTTCTCTGTCGATCATGTGTAGTTTAATTCTTGCCACTTAATTGGGTGTGTGTTGTGATTCCATTGTCTATTTTCTGTAGTTTTATAAATACAATTTGCAGTGTACCTTGTAGGTCCTCATGTGAACCCAACTTGCTTCCCTTTTTTTTATTTTTAAAGGCCTTTATTATCATTTCCCCCTTTCTGCTATCTTCAATTTCCATAGATCTCATTCTTGTTATCTACAACATGGGCACTTAATATAATAATAAAATTAGCAGTTTACTAGGCACTATACCAAATGTTTTACTAGTATAAATGTCTAATGCCTCCAATAACCCTGGAAAGTTGGTGCCACTGTTCATGATGAGGGTGTTACCAATCTTCCAGGCTTACATAGGTAGTGGCAATAGAATAGTTTCCTGTTAGTTTATCTGGATCTCCCACATGAGTATACTATAATGGCAGATATGTGTCTTCTATTATAGTCTATCCTCATTGCCTAGCTTACAATTGGCATGTCGTAATTGCTACATATATGTGTGGCCTTTTCTGACCTACCTCCATGCCCCTGAACAGCTTTCTCATACTGCGCGTGCACACACACACATTTCCATATAGATGTACGGAAATATTTATAGCATTTTTTTCTGGGTCTCCTCAATAGAATGTAAGTTCAATGAGGACTTAGACTTTGTTTTATTAACCACTGGGCGGCTAATGCCTAGAATAGTAACCAGCACACAGGACAGCTCATTTAATTAAATAAGGTAACGAATTAAGGAATCTGATTCTGCATTCAGATGAAATATTTAACCTTGGTTCACGATTTTAACTCCCTTTTCTTCTTCACATTGTCTACATTTTTCTGTTTAAAAATATCTTTAGAACAAATGTCATAATTTTAAATACTAGAAACAGATGATGTCAACCTCATCAAGGGCAAGGATTGCCTCTGCCTTCTAGACTTTAATTTGCATTGAGTGAGTATGTTGTTCTGTGAGAAGACATCTTTAATAACTGTTGCTAACTGTAAAAAAAAGGATATGCCTGTTGGTATCCTAGTAATAACAATTGAATCTTTTTGTCTTAGTAAAAGATAGTAAAAGATGTTAATGACCCTTATCCTTCTCTACCTGAGGTGAGAAACAGACCTTGAAATCTAATGTTATTAATCAATGTCATCCCAATAAATCCAATTAAAAATTTTTAGAATAAGACTGGGGGGGGGGGCATGAGGGCATTTGCTGAGGGTTGGGGGTGGGCAGGAAGAGGTCAAGAGTCGGGGGAAGGAGAATTATGTAAGACTTTAAACAATAGAGAATTTAAATTAAAAATAAATAAAATTAAAAAATATTTTAGAATAAAACATCTCTTTAAAAACAAAAAACAAACAGTAAAGTGATTTTTGATACTGAGCAAAATTCTAGAGAAAAAGAACTGCTGACTTTTCTTAATAATTTTCACTTCTTAACAAATGTAGAATTTAGATAAACTAAAGTATGAATCATTCAGATCATGAAAAACCACTTTTTCAGTGAAGGACAGAAGATAAGTGTACTTGCATCACAAGTCAAATGTTACTGTGTAATGGGGAAATCTTTGTGAAATATTCCTAAATAGAAGTGCAGTTAGGCAGCTTACTTCCTAAATGAGATTTATAGAGATTTTTATTTTTTGCAGCAACAGTTTAAAACTAGCTCAGTAGTTTGTTTCATCAGTGAAGTTTTATCTGTTGGGGATAGAAATATTTGAAATAGGTATTTTAAAGATTCATGTATTTAGTTCCCCAACTTAAAGAATTACGTTGCTGTGTGTTTATATATATAGATACTTCTCTGTTTGGTTTACCTTGGCAATACCTCACAAGAAGGATAAATTTCAGTTATATTTGTATTTTAATATAATTTCTAATTATGTCTTCTTTGGGGCCATAAGAACATGTAACAATTGTCATACAATATTTTGTGTGGTTTACATTATAGTTAAAAGAAAATTGGAAAGGAATTATTAAGTAAATGCTGATAATTTCTTACTGTTGCACTTTTGACAGTTTTGAATCATGGACCATGAAATTGAAATGTTAGTTGATTGATACATGTTCATGTTGTATTTAATGAGCTGATTAAAACACAATTATAGCACCTTTGTATCTATAATCTTAATTCTTTGCTTCCCATTAAATTGCTGAAATATTTAGGCAAATTTTCTTCAGAGAAATCATAGTGTGTAGAGAGAAGATAAGGTATATAAATGGAAAGTTGGACAGCATGTTGTTAGTTAAGCAGTTTGTAAAAATGAACATGGAGAAATAATCCCTCATGTGGTATGACTCCAAAATAGAAGGAAGATCTAGGTTCAGGAGTCATACCTCAAAATAATTTTCTTCTGTGCATTTGTAGAATTTTAAAAAATATGTGTCTTTATTGATTTCAGAGGGAGGGAAGAGAGAGAAACATCATTGATGAGAGAGTATCATGGATTGGCTGCCTCCTGCATGGCTCCTACTGGGGATCAAGCCTGCAACTTGGAAATCCAACCATCACCTCCCAGTTCATGTATTGATGTTCAACCACTAAGCTATACTGGCCAGGCCATTTGCAGAATTTTATTGACTGAAATGATTAGGGTTTTTCAGCTTTTTTTTTTTTTTAAGTTAAGAAAACAGATATTTGCATTTAATATAAGATAATTTGAAATGAGTTTATATATCCTTAAACTTTAAAAAGTTCGTGAAAAAGAACAAAAACATCTGAGGATTTCACAGGGTAATGCTGTTTTAAGTCTTTTCTGTTCAAATATTGTTAGGCACAGTTGGAAGAAAACAATTCTGGTCAGCCATAGTGGATAGAGACCTAGAATTCTGGCTGCCAAGGGCCCTGCTGAGTGAAATATAGTGTTCAGGAGAGGGAGAGATTTGTATGTGAGCACAGTTTGGGGCGTACTTTGTTTTCTTTCGCTATTGTGGGATAATGTGAGCTTTGGTTTTGGCTACTGTTGACGGGGACTTTGAATATCTGGAGCTGAGATATTCTGAGGAAGAACTGAAATCATTGCCTGTTCTGCATCTGGAAAATGTTGGGTATGTAACTTCATGTCATCCATTCTGCAACCCTGAAAAGTAGTAAAGTAAACCCACCCCATTTATCAGTTGAAGGCATTGAAGCTAAAGTAGATAAAGTCATTTCTTCTTTCAGGGTCAGATAGTTATAAATTGACAGGATGGTGAACTGCAGCTCAGATTTGCCTGATTCTGAGATGCATGTTTTTTCTGTTTACCATGCCACCTCTTTTTTAGCTTAAATAACTTCATTCTTCTTTTCTTTTTATTTTTTATGGGCAGTCACTAATTCAGTGCATTTATTTGAACTTTATGTTATTAATAGGGTTGCCAAAGTAAAAAAAAAAGTCTGCTCAGTTGAATTTGAATTTAAACAATGAAATTTTTTTTAGTATATACACACACACACCCCAAATATCATGAGATCTATTTGTACTAAACATTTATTTATTATTTATCTGAAATTAAAATTTAACTGGCAACCTGTATTTTATTCAGTGATCTTAAATGTTAAGAAAATGTGTCATTTAAGATGAATATTTACATAGCTCTAGAGAATTGTCTTTTTAAGAGATTTCTAGAATTGATATAATGAGGTTCTCTTTTTAGAGGGGGAAAATATATTTGGGTTCTGACTGGGCCACATTCCTTAGGAGCACATTTGTCAAGTAGCTCTTAGGAGATGTAGATGGTCATTAAACACCTCTCGGTCCCCCTCATTTCTTTTGTCTATCTTTGGAGTCTGGATGCTTCAGAGCTCACCAGTGCCCTGGTTATACAAATAATTGCTAGTACTTGTGGGAATTTACTGTTTTGGGCACTGTCCTAAGTATTTTTACATATGTTAAATCCACTACTGCTCTCTGCAACTTTATGACAAAAGTAATACTGTTAATACTGATAAGAACAGATACTACATTTGATCCTTGTCAAAAGGCTGAGAAGTGATAAAAAAAAAAAGTAATACTATTACCCTCATTTCATAGATGAGAAAACTTAGGCAGAAGAGAGGATAGATAA